AGAAAAGAGTGGTGAACTCAGAAAGGCTGAGAACTTAATCAGTACTGAATCAGACTAAGCACAATGAAGTACCAGATCATTAGATAGCAGCTTTCAAAAGTGCAATACTTACAATCCAGGAGGAGCCTGGGTGCTTCGAAAGCTTGGCTCAGCAATTATTAAGCGCTCCCACTGCACACATCATGGATTGCTGAGAGCTGGTCAAAAGTTTACTACCACAGGATGCAATAATTGAATATGTCTTTGTATGTGACCTGGGGAAATTAATCATTTTCAGCAGCTTATATATTTTAAACTTACTACTTTAGCCTTCCACAGAATCAGTGCCACCACATTGGTTTTATTGCTGTTATTTTTGTTGTTATTATTGTTTTATGGTTATAGTTTTGGTTGTTTGTTGTTTTATGTTGCTCTCTCAGCAATAGGGTCATTCTAAGGAAGAGTGCCATGAAATTAGGGCAGGGAAAAGCTTTAATCATTCTAAGGAACCACAGAATTTTGTTTTCTTCTCTCTGATCATAAGAAAGGTGTAACACATCTAGGCTCTGCTTTCATATTCTCTGCCAGAAAACTCAGAGCCCAGTTTGGAATACAACTACAGGAAATATTTGGGCCCTCATTGTAGGCATATTTGTCTTTTCTTTCCCACCCTTCTAATTTTTTTCTATTTTATTGTGATTTTATTGAATTAATTGTTGTTTTAGTCTACCTGGAGTCCTCTCTTGAAGGATATTGGAGGGTGGACAAATAGACTTGCTTATGTAGGATCATAATGATTGTCCTATAGGCAACTACTTTGATTTCAATTGTATGAGATTTTGTTTCCCTTTTAAAGTTTCCAGTTGCCCAGAACCTGAGAAAGAGATATACTTTCTTAGGAAGAGTGAATACCTGAGAGTATTTGGTTGGAGCATTCAGAAAAGATACCCAGGGAAGAAACATGAAGTAGCAGAATAGATTTTATATCTAATGAAAGAATACTCTAGAATAAAATTACAGTAAATTAACAAAGATCTTGACTCTGAAACTTTGCAACTCCTTTAAGGAAAGCCAAGGTTGTCATTAGAGAAAGTAACAGGATTGTTAGTGGAACCGTCTTTGAAGAACATTCCAGGCAGAGGATAGAGGTCTCAAGGTGGGAGAGCACTTGATGCATTTGAAGAATAGACAAAATCAGGGTGGCAGAAGTATAATGAGCAAGAGTAAAAGTAGTATAAAATTAAGTTAAAGATCTGGACACAGGGAGGGTTGAAAAAAGGCAGTGGCATAATCTGATTTGCATTTAAAAAGTATTACTTTGGCCTCCATGTATAGAATAAACTGTGTATTGAGACGAGGAAGGTGGGTAAGAGAAGAAACACATAGGAGACTGTTGCAGCACTCCAGGTGCGAGACGATGATGGCGAGGACTGCTGTAGTATCTGCAAAGGTGGAGAGAGGGGGTTGGATTCCGGATGTCTTTTGGAGATAGAGTTGACTTATCATGGGGACAGAATGAATACAGGATAAGAGAATAGAATGTCTAAAAATAATTCTCTGGTTTTTGGTATGAACATCTGAATGGACTGTGTTATTTAATTTGATGGGAAGGTGGAGGACATTGTGGGAATAGGGTAGGAAAAGTGATGATTGGTTCTGTTGAGGGTATACTAATATTGACATGCCTAAGAGGAAATGCCAAGCAGTTCATTGGATAAATAAGCCTGATGTTCATATATGAAGTAAAGACATTCATTCTGGAGTCAATGTCATGTACATGGTTTTTAAGGTCATAGTACTGAATGCTGTCACCTAGTGAGAGAGTGTAGAAAAAGAAAATGTAGAACAGAGCCCCATCTATTCTCCTCCTTTTACCCCTTCTCTCCTAGGAACAAGCTGAGGGGAAAAAAATATAAAGAACCTTGTGTCCTATCAGGTCCTGGGATTGTGACTGAGTGGGTCATAATTCCTCATCACTCACCTGTTATTTCTGCAAATTCTGTTAATTGATTCAATGGTGGATTTCCTTGATAACTGGATTTTAACCTTATAAAGCCTTATCTCATGGAGGTTTTAGTTTCCATTTTGTCATGTTTTTGCTTTTGCTTTTTTGCATTGCACTTCCTACTCATTTCAGCAGGGAAATTACCCAAAATCCATAATTCTAATTTTCCCATTATTGTCATCATTGTCTTTGGACAAAATGAACAAAAACCACAGAGTCAGAAAAAAACAGCAGGAGAAAGGAGTCACAACAATATAAAGGAAATTTAAAAAATAGATTTGTATGAAGTTTTCAATATTTACAGAATATGTTCATCTATGCTTTTCCTATAGCAAATATTTGGGGTAGGGTTATCTGATGTGTCCCAATATCTCAGGTATCATGTAGACACTGGAGATAGGGATAAGCCTTCAAAGAGCTTATGCTGTGTTATAATGTATTGTACTTTATCTTTCAGAATAGTATACACTTTTTTTTTTAGCCACCATTTAACAGGTACAGCAGTAAGGCTAATCTGTCCGGCAACACACAAAAATTGGAAGAATTAGTATAAAATTTTATATAATAGCTGGGTTTAAGAGTTGAGTTATTGGGTTCTCTCTCTCTCTCTCTCTCTCTATATATATATATATATATATATATATATATATTTAGTAGGCAGAATCTGGAGTTGTTTTATAGAATAAAACCCCATTTTATAAAATTAAACAGATTTCTCAGTTACAGCCAGAGTCATTACAAACTAAAATCCATATCATTTAAAAATAAGTCCAGAAGAATGAGGCACACAGTGCCTTCAATCTTTTCTAAATATAACAGAAGAGTTTCATTTACATCTTCAAAAAATGTTAAATGAGACTTTACACCAAATTAATTTTGAGGAAAGAAAAAGAAAAGGATATTTTTTTGAAAATTGAGAGACAGTGTAAAATCCTGTTCTAAAAGAGGTCCCTGTACAATTAGGTTTAGTACATCACCTGACTGTGTGGTTGGAGTCATCCTCTAATAGAGATGAAAAAGAGGAATCTGTTCTAGTCCTAGGATAATGGCTAAGTGTTCAGTAGGGATGGATGTTAAGTACTCTGGTTTATTACATTCTGTTTATTGCATTTTTGAATACCTTAAAATGACAATTTAATATAGCTGAAATTATAAGGGGTATATTTTCTGCCAGCCACTTTTTAGTGAAAACCTGTGAGGTATGACTAGAGATCAGAGGTTAAGTCTTTATTACATATGGAAACTAGAATGAATTTCTAAAAATGAAAGGGCAACTCCCAGCTGTGAAGAGTTTTATGTTTGTTTTTAACAGACTTTTTACTCCTAAGCCATGACTCGTATTTAAGGGTTCCCCACTTCAGAACAGACCCTTGAGGCAGGGAGTTTTAACTCATAAATTTAAGCAAACATTGATTTGTTGCAACTTTTGAAGAAGTCATAAATATAAGCTTTATGTGACCTTAGCCAGGATAGGGAAATACTGGTCAATCATGAAACACTGACTTAGTGGAGGATAAGAACCTTCAATAGAATTGAATAGAATTATTCAATAGAATAGATATTCAATAGAATAGCCAAGAAAAAAATTTCACCTGATGAGGTGTCTTTATAGGAAAAATAAATACAAAATATTATATTTCCTGGCTTTAAAAAATAAGAACAGGAAACATAAAGCCTGTATCTTTTAACTCTCACTGTTATGGGATGATTCAACCAAAAACAAATATATGTTACTGATATTTAAGGGAATGGGGGGAAACAGAAGCAAAAGAAAAAAAAAGATGAGTTAAACAAGAGGGTGAAGGTGAAGGTGGAGACAGAGGAGAGAATCCAACTAAGAAGCAGGAAAGAGAGAGGAGAAAGAACCAGATGCTTAAAAGCACAGAACGTGTTTATCCTTAAGATTAGGTTTTGCTGAACATAACAGAAGATGCCAAAATAGCAGTGGCTTGAACAAAATAGATATTCACTTCTCTCTCACATAAAGCCTAAGCAGGCAGGACAGCTCTAGCCACAGCCATCAGCGATTCTGGCTCAGTCAGTCACATTGCCCTGCCCACCATAATATGGTACCATGTACTCCAAAATGGGTGCTCACATGCTCCTCCATCAAGTCCATATTCTAACCACTCTTTGGGAGTAAGGGATAAAGAAAAACATGGCTTCTTCCGTTAGTCAAGTTTCCTTGAAGTTGTACACTTTCCTTAGTCATTTGGCCAAACCTAGATGTAAAGGAGTCCAAGAAATGTAAAAGTTATTTCAAGTTTAAAATTGGCGTTTCTATTACTAAGTAAAAAGGAAAGAATGGATATTTCTATAGACAATTTAATACTCATTTACCCCATAACCCATCATTTATTCATTTTGTCTGGGATCACACAAATTAGGGTTTTTTGAAGTTATAACAAACTAATATCTCTCAATTCTTCTGGACAGTCAGATTTTTCTGTTTCTATCTTTAATCTTTAAATAATATTTTGGAAGTCAATTTGTATCTTCCCATGAAATTTTGAAAGTTTTCTTCAGATTTGGGAAGGAATTACTTGAGATTTTTAAATTTATTTTGAGGCTTTTACATTATTCAGTCAATTTACTATGCTCATATCCTTAATATTTTCTTTCTCCCACAATTCCAATTTATAATAAGAATCTGTTGGTATGATTAGTTAAGGCATCCAAACTTCATGTATTCTTTCAAAAAAGACAAATTATCAAATGTAATTAAGTTGTTATTCCTTTGTAAGGCACTGCCTGTAAAAAAATAATTAAGGAGAAAATGTCATTTTAAATCCATAAGCCCCTATTTAGAATTAAGGAACTAAAAGCTCTTCCTCCTATTGTGAATGACTGTAAAATAAGAATGTGTCAAAGGAAAAATACACTAAGAATTGCATTTTTGTAGTATTTACCAATATTGAAATGCATAATCAAATTCTGGTAAATAGGATGCTACAGGACTTCCAAGGCTAGGTCATAAAAGTTGATATGGTTTCTACCTGGCTCTCTCTTTCTCCAGGACATGAATGTTTGTATCCCTGAGTTGCCACATAAGAGTCCAGCTAGTCATGCCACCATGTTGGAGAGATTATGAGGAGAGATACATAGAGACAGAGCAAGATGCCCAAGAAGCCCATCTTAGTTGTGGCATAGACACTGAGGCTTGACATACCATCTCCTTTTCCAGAACCAGGTGGGACTGTATGTGACAGTTTATTAAATCCATTCATTTGCTAGCTATTTCTGCTGATTAACCTGATTAACTTATATTCATATATTGTGTAATGATCTGAGATCCATCTCTGGAAAACTCAACATATGAGATCAAAAGCTAAAGACTTGGATGTCACAGGCAGTGTATTTATTTTCTTCAGAATATAAAGTTATAAAGCATTTTGTTCAATGAACAAAGACTTTTTGAGGCTTTATGATTTAATTACTTACAACAAAGTCCTACTCTCTTTTGGAAGAGAAAGAAACATGACACATAGAGGAGATTTAAATCCAATGGAAATAATAATGTGCAGTTCCAAAGCCCTTTATAGATATTATTTTATTCAAACGCCACAGCAGTTCTCTATTCCTACTCTAGAGATGAAGAAACTGAGGTTCAGAGAAGCTAAGTGTATCTCTGTTCAAGCATCACTTCCTCTACAACCACCCTGACTAAATCAAGTCTCTCTATTATGTTTATGGTACCATGTTCCTCTACTTCATAGTGCTTATAACATTTACAATTTGAATTCATTTATGTGATTAGTTAAGTATTAAATTTGTTTTCTCCACAAGATTGTACATTTCATTGGAGCATGGACTGTGTTTCTTTTTGTTCACCATTGTAATCTCTAGCACCTCTCACATGACTAGTTTAGTGTAAGTATTCAGTAATATTTTATGAATGAATTAATGAAGCTATACTCTCCATTATTATTGAAATAACATCCAAAAAGCACCAAACCTTTGAAGTGAATCTGGACTTCCAAATCTGTAGCTCTTCAAATGTTTTGAAAGGACTTTATCTCAGGGCTATACATGATGAAAAATCATGCAATCTCACCAGATTTTTAAAATGCTCTCCCACTGAGCTAAAATTCAAATTTTTAAACTCAGTCACCCAAAAGAAACAGATAATTACTAATAAAACATAAAAGTAAAGGTTTGTTTCAAAGAAAATCTTTTCATTTATTCAATGATTTACGTATTTCTTTTCCAACAAATACTTTTTGTACCTCCTTGTATTTAAAATCGCATTAAGTGCTATAGAAAACTAAACATAATATGCAATCCCCATCTCAGGGTCCTCATAATCAGTTTTAAGAGACTAGAAAAACATGTCACTTTTTGAAATGGAAGATGATAAATTATTAGGTTCCAAAAGTATTGTGCAGGGAATTAGTCCTATTAGGCATTCATTAAAGACTGAAGTTGTTAGATGTAGTTTCATGAAAAAGGCCAGAGAAACAGAATATATCATGGATTTCTTGTGGAAACTGCACATATGGCTAAGGCATCTAATGGGTGGATGGCAGTGCAGCTTGAAACGGGAATTAGGTGATAATGATGGACGGGTAGGCAAAGAACCAATCATGAAGACCCTTAGGTTCTCTTAATCCTGAAACCTATTGGAAGCCATGGCATAATTTTCTCATTAGTAAGTCATCTTGGAACTAATGTAGATGATAGAATGGGATAGATTAGGGAGGCGATGGCTTATAGGAGACAATGAGATAAGCTATGAGTATTCTAGATAATATAGCTATGAAACATCAGAATATAGAAGTTATAGTTCTTGGTTATTGAGTGAATACCATGAGGTGGGAGGAGTTGAGTAGGTTGTGAAAACATAGGTATAAGTCCTGGGATTCTTGTTTCAGAGGTTGGGAAGAAGATGGTGCCATTTATTGAAAAACAAAAAGAATGGTAAAGCATGCAAATTTATGAGAGTGGATAAATCATTCAGTTTATATACATATGAAACAAGCTAGTAGTGGAAATGCGATGGTAAATATCCATGTGGCAGTTGAAATTTAAAAAAATAAAATAAAATAGAAAAAATATAAATAGACCACACAAGCAAAAGGATTGATAGAAAGTGGAGCAGGAAGAGTGAAGACACAATTTGAACATCATCAACACATGGAAGGTACTCAATGGCAACTTAAGAGTGAGTTACACAGGGTCAGTATGTATCAATAGTTTGAGAAGATCAGAAAGATGAGGACATAATTGGAAAATACCAAGAGTTACAGCTTGAACAGAACTAGAGGAGATTGAGAAGGATTGGCCCAGATATGTGAAGAAAAACTGGTGAGACTAATGTCACCCAAACCAGGGGAGGACAGAGTGTGCAAAAGAGGAAATAGTTAACAGTGTCAAGTGCTACTGAAGTTCAAATAACATAAGAATGGAAAATAAAGAGGTTGAATTTGGTAATTAGGAAATTATTGGTAACCATTGTGAAAACAATTGCAGTTGGGTGACAGATGCAGCAGGTAGGTTTCACTGGGTTGAAATGGAACTGGCAGTTGAGGAAACCAGTTCTTCAGTGAGAAGAGATTAATTTTCAAAAAGTTTGTCTATAAAGGCAAGGTGAGATATAAGCTAGTGAGGACTGTGTGGCAAAAGGAGGGTCTTTTTATTTTAATATGGCAGAACTGAGAAGATGTATTTGATGGTGGGGGTAGGGGGGTTAGGTACAAACTGGTAAAAAGAAAACCATTGAATTAACAAGATTCTTAAAGAATTTGGAATGGATGGGATCCAAATTACAGGTAGAGATATTTGTTTTGAATAGAAGACTGTGAAATTGAAGGAAAGTTGTTGAATGTGGGACTCAATGTCATAAATTTGTAGGAGATGGCAGAGGAAATTCCTGCCTGGTGCTCTCAATGTTCTCAGTAAAACTGAAGGTACAATAGAAAAGATTCAGCATGTAGGTGAAACAAGAAAGGGAAAAATGAATTGGTGGACAAGAAGCACAGAGTTGTACAGGGTGGGAGGAATGAGGAGGTAGAGAAGATGAGGATCTTCTATATTGAACGTTGGCAGAGTTGATATTAAAAATACTTACCTAATAGAGCATGAATCCTATCAATCAGAGTGGACAGCACTCAATCAAGAATGTTGGAATTGGGTCTTGGAAGCTCTCTCTGGGCCAGATTTTAACCCTTCCTTGTAACTTGGGGAGGTCCAAAGTGGTCCCACCATAGTGGCTTTGTTAGCTAAGTCAGTGGGTATGGGGAAGCCTTGAAATAGCAGTTATTTTTCAAATTGTGTGCATTTATTTCATTACTTTGACAATTGGTGTGGTCATACCTGTACAGTGGTCCCTTGGTGTCTGAGGGACACTGATTCCAGGACCTTTGACAGATACCAAGATGTTCAGTTCCCTTATATAAAATGATGTAGTACAGCTGGCCCCCCATATCTGCGGGTTCTGCCTGTGTGGGCAGAGGACCAACTGTACATACTGACTCAATATCAGTCTTTGGTACTGGCCAAGGAAAACAAAGACAGCCAGGCCTCCATATTTTGCTTTTAACCCGTTTTCTATGCCAGTGGGCAAAGAGGTACCATACACCACAGTGGACAGTGTTGGTCTAGAAAAAAATGTTGATTTTCAGTTCACTGATTAATTCAAGATCTTTGCTCCAGATTCCAAATAGACAGTTGGTGAGAAAGGTTTTTTTTAATTTTATGACTCACCAAAGTTTATCTCTGGATGGAGGGGATTGAAATAATAAAGTCATAGTCATAATAGTGGACATTTCTTATCTACCCCACCTCAACCAGACATTCCCACGGTCACACTCTAAAGCTTGTGATTATCAAGTATATCATTAGCACCAAAGTTTTTATTTCTAGCATCCTACCCTAGGATAAATATATCTTGATATCTTAGCATATTCCTTCTATATTCCCACTCTGAGATTATTTGACTACATTGGGACCTTCAACACACTGACTCTACCATTCTTTTTTTATTATTCACTCTCCTAACCCATGTCCTCACTTGCTTCTTACCCAGCTTACACTCCATAACCCAGCATTAAAATAATCCTCTTGCATGTATCTGCATTTTCTTTCTCTTCCTCTCCCTCTGAAGAACTTACAGTGTAAAACCCCTACTCCTATTAATCAAAATTTACCTGCTTCTTCCTCTGTACTTGAGCAGCTAAACGTATTGGGAGAAAAAACACAATGATGCTAATTTGTCACACTTTAATAAATTCCACATAAAATCCTGTAGCAGATTTTACCATTGCTGGACAAACCTACATTTCCCTAATTTATTTACTTTCCCGCTCTACCATACTTCTAACCATTTCCCATACTTCCTTCCCTCCTGCTTTCTCCTTCTCACTTTCAGCTGATGCCCTTATGTCTCACTTCACTGATGATGCAACATATACAGCAAAAACTGCATGGAGTCAAATTAGCCTTGAGAATTTCTTGGAATGTTCCACATTGGAGACTGATACATCCTCTCATAAGAAGTCTAATAAAACCAGTTTTTCCTCTGGCATTGAAGCTTTCCTTAGTTTGGTATCAGATAAAGTATATAACCTACATTCACAGTCCATATTGTACCCAAAATATCTGTCTTTAGACATTATAATCATCCTTTCTACAGCTAGATGCTCACTCTATGAGAGCTATGTGGGCAATGACCTCAGCTGGGGAAGGATCATATTCACCTCTCCTAGCTCACTCTCACTCTGGAGCTTAAGTTCATGGAATGAAGTGGTAGGACAAATATTTATACTATATAAACGTATATTTCTATAGCTTTTTAATCTCATGTTTTGGAGAGTTGGAGCTGCTGGATGTGAAATGTTAATTCACATTATATAACAGATGTATGATGTGACCCCACCGAAAAATAAGATCCATTTTCTGTTTCTTGTTAAATTTGGTAATCTATTTAAAATGCTTAACACAGTGCCTGGCATCTAGTAAACGATAAATGTTAGTTGTTATTAGTAGTGTTAATAATGTTACAGCCAAGTGGAGAGGACATATGGATATGAAGATAGATGGTGGCGTATGATAAATACTAAATAACAATTATAGGTGCTTAGAGCAGAGTGATGACCATCAGATGCTTCCTTGATGATTAGATGTGAAATGTTACGCATAAAAATGGGTGAGATTACAAGAAGAAAGCTAGCAGCTGTGAACCAACAGTTCAGATAAGATACAGGACAACATTGGCGATAATTTCTGGACCATTTCCAGAAAAATAAGCCACAAAATCAAAGTTTACATGCATATGTTTTATGGTTTTCAAGAAATATTCACCTTCATTCTCTATCTCATTTAATCTTCATGGAACTTAGTTAATGGAAGGACAGGTATTCCTATCTTCATTCTGCTAATGAAGAAACTGTCCATTGGAGAGTTTGTAATTTGCCTAGCTTCCTTCCACTCGGTGGTAGAGCCTGCACCAGAGCTACGTAGTGGTCCTTCCGACTCTAAATCCAGAGCCTTAGCCATTGTATTCTTCCTGTTTAGCCTGCAACAGTAATTCAAAGAAAATAAAATGTGTTGTGATGGTGTCAGTCTTAATATATTGCTTAAAGTACTTTGTTGTGTCGACAAAGCCCATTTAAAAAGAATGTGAAAATCTTTAAAAGTTGTGTAACCACCAATACCGTTATCCCATTAACTAGACACGCTGGTATCATCTTAATTCAAATATCTGTAAGCAGAAAAGAGACGTTCATTTTTATTCACAACGCCTTTCCTATACCATCTGGAACAAGCAATTTCCTTTTGTGTGCCTTTAAACTGTGTTATAAAGAAATTAATTTTACCCTGAGGGCTTTCACTGTGAATCTCACAACTTTCCTTCTGGTTATTTCTCAGTTTCATCATCAGTAACAAATTGTTCTTATAGGGGGAATTGTGCTTGTCAATTTTTCTAGTTTAGCCTATCAGATTTCTCATTAGGTCTTGCCACTAACAAATGCCTTTGTTTTCTTTCCAAAGTTGTCGGCAGCTATTATAATTATTTTATCAGAAGAACACAATTTACTTTGGTGTGTAAGTATTAATTGGAAAATTACCTTTTCAAATTAGTTTATAATGAGAATGATTACGTTTACTGTCACTTAGACAGCGGCAAATAAAAGAGTCAATTCAACTGAATATATGTTATTAATAATTAAAATATAAGTATCTGTCTTGTAATTGTTTAATTACATATTTCTTGCAGAGTTTTTGTGATGACTTCAACAGGTGATTAGAAAAAGCTGCTGATGCATAACCTCAGCTTCCTAAAGGTCAGTGGTCTTTGGGAGATGAAAGACAAAGTAATAGAAAAGTGCTATCACTTTTATTAATTCTTTCTTGATTCACTACTCTAAATTGGGCTCGGGTTTGTCATCAGGGACATAAAGGTAGACAAAGCACAGCTCCTGGCTTCAAAGAGGTCAGTCTAAAATGTCACAATATCAACAACTACCAGTTAGTCAACATTTTCTGAGTAATGAACAGAACTCCAGGTTTTTTCACAAAGTATATAACTATTTTCTCATTGAAATATACTATCAACCCTGGAAGGAAAACACGTTGTAAATAATGTGAAATTCACAGAGCTCACTTATTAAAGGTTACACTAGACCTAGGAAGTAACAGATGGATTCAGGATGTGAACTGATTCAGTCTCTTTGTCTCTGTCTCTGTCTTCTCTCACTACGATGAGATAAGAGCCATACTGGTGGTGTAGCCACCATGGTATGGAAGCCCAGAAGAATCACTGCCTCATCTTTCTTGGCCAATGCTGCAAAGAAAGACCTGACCTTGAGTTAGTCAAAGAAAACCCTATACTCACTGAGCTTACCATTTTTCTAACACACACTGTCATTAGAACACATCCCAGAGACAATGTTGTCCATGGCATCCCTCTCAACAAATCATCAGGCATTACTGAGGCTTTTGGTCAAAGCTTCCAGATGTCATTCTGCTCTGTCTAAGCCTAGAGCCATGACCACTTAAATTCCCACTGCAGTATCATAACCAATCTTTAGTTGAGGTAAACAGGCATTTTTGAGCCCCAGCTCTCGTGCCAGACACTGAACCGGGAGATAGGGATAAATGGAAAATTGACACATGATGTCCACCCTCAGAAATTCTAAGGGAGAATGCACTACAAGCTCATTTCTGATGAGGATGAAGAGCACAAGAGAAATCTATTTGGAGATAAATGGCAAAAAATGTTTTCTCTATTAGAAATGTCCAAAACTTAAACATTGTCAGATGTACAAGAATGTTCTGCCTTGGTTGGCATCGGGTGGAGTGTAGGAGGGGCATCTAAGTAAAGAAAGTTTAAACATTTAAGACAATTCCTAAAAATATTTATTTAAAAATTGAATTAGAGAGGCATCTCTTCAAAGTACAGACTGAAGTAGGCAGACTAGATTTAAAACCTAGTTTAATTTTATCAGTTTCAAACTTTGGTGACAAATCATTTATCTACTTCTCCTCGACTCAATTTCTTCAACCAAAAAAAAAAAGTTAATAATGACATCTATGTTTTCTTGCTGTATGTGTGACGCTAGAATAAGATAATGTGTTAAGTGCTTAACACAGTATCTAGCATATATTATCGAGGCAAAGTGTAGACATGTAAGCTGAGAATTTGTATTAAAATTTTCAAGATACATGTAATTTACCTTCAGAGATTCTGAGTCATGTAGGGTCAGAATATAAGATATTGGGTTGTTTTGACAATTAGTTTAGATAAATGTATCAAATATTTATATGTGAAAAAGGGATTAGCACTCAGAAATGCTAGCTTTTGTAGTCCTGTGATTTATGAAGCATCAGATAATGCTTTTTGTTTTTTTAATCGCAGGGTTGTTATGAATTTTTTAAGCTGGAGACCTCACATACTCAAAGTAAACCCACGTATACATGACTTAGACCAGCATACCCTTATATGCTGATGTGAGTGCATCATAGTTGTTCTGTAAATGCCTGTGGCGCTATTTGAGATGTGGGTTTCTCACAGCAGGAACCATGACTTCTCTCTTTGAATCTTTAGTATCTGGTACATAGCAGTTGCTCAATAAATACTGGTTGGAGAGAAATTGATAACTTCTACCCATTTAAACATTATACATTTCATTTTGTCTGATATATACGTACAGGATATAACTCAGTTTCTAATCACAACATAATAGTGAGAAGTACTGAGAAAATCACACAGTTGGGGAAGTTGATGCAATTACTGTACCTTAAATTCACGAACACTGTGATCATCGGCCTCTGATAGATATTCACTTACACTCTGCAACCCTACTATGTTTCTCCAAGAAGCTTAGTTTTCTGTTATCTACTCAGCAACATACTTTTCATCACTTTCACCTCCCCCCACAACCACTTTATTGTGGTTGTCTTGCCTCATAATTCACAGATAAAATAGAAGCGAAATTTGGGGAACCCCTCCTCTTCCTATTGCTAAGTCAACAAACCTACCTGACTCTGCGTCTATCTTCTTCTACCCTCTGGATGCAATGGAGATTGTATCTCCCTCGCCATGCCCAGCCCAGTCATTCCTACACATGTATTCTGAATCCCTTTGACGCTCACCTTTTCAAGGACTTTGCTTCCTGATTGTTCTGCCTCTCTTTTGCATCCGCCATTGCTCCTTCTATACTGAATTATTCCTACTGGCATACAAAGATTGTCCACCATTGCTCGTCTTTGAACAATATTTCCTTACCTCCTCTTTCCCTGTTCCCCATTTCTCTGCTCCGTTCATAACCAAGCTTCTTACAAGAGTTGTCAGCACTCACTGTCTACACTTCTCCCAGCTGCTCACTCTTCTATTCATTGCTGCTTAGCTTCTGTCCCCTCCATTTCTCTAAAACTATTCTTGTCAAGGTCTCCAGTGCTTTCTGTTCTCACTAGACCTTCAACAGTGGACCATTCCTTCATGAAATACTCGTCTTTCTTTGGATCTACAATACCTCTTTATCCTGACTTCTCTCTCTGCATACTCCTTCTGTCTCCTTGATCTTTCTCCATTCTACAAACTTCTCTTCTCTCTACATCCTTTCACTAGGTGATCTCATCCATTCCCATGACTTTAAGTATCACACATGCAGCAACAATTCCCCGGTATATATCTGTAGCCAAACAGTTGTTTCTTGCCTCTGACCCCATGAATCTAAATCCATTTAACATATAAAAACACAGAACTTCATGTTTTCCCCTTTAAGATTTATTCTTTCGTCTACCTTGCCTATATCAAAAAACTGGCATGACCATCCACACAAGCACTAAAGCCATAAGTCTAAACATCATTGTTAGTGCTTCCTTCTTGTTCATCTTTTATATGCAATCTATCAACAAATACTTTTTTATCTTGAAAATGTAGCCCTTCCTCTCCTTCCCTGCTACCATCCAGCATCAGGTCACTATCATATCCTACCTGGACGTCTGCAATAATCCTCCTACTGAGGCACTGTGCTTTCTTACTTTACCCTTAGTCCCCAATGCCTTCTTCACACATCAGCTAGTAATTCTGTGTAAAAACCCAATCAGATTATGAGACTCCTCTGCTTAAAACCCTTCTATGTAATTCCATTTTGTTTAGAATGAAGATAAATTGCTTATGATGGCCCAAAAAGAACACTATGATCTTATTTACATCTATCAGCTCGTTTCCAGTCATTCCCTGCCTTGCTCAGTATACTTCTTTCGATCCATAGGACCAACAAGCTCATTCCTGCTATAGGGGCATTCTGTCTCTGGAATGCCTTCCTTCTTGCTCTTTATATGGTTAAATACTTCACATCCTCAAATACTGCTTTCTCAGAGAGAAACTTCAATCATTAACTGATCCTCTTACTAAGTAGCATTACTCGCGTCTCCTTATTCATCATAAAAAGCACATTTTTCACTTATCATTTTCATTGGTCAAGTTCATCAGTTGACTTTCATGTTGCCAATCCAATGATCATTTCTTAATATTCTACTTGCTCATGCTGTCAGCAGCATTTGACATGGTTTGTCAGTTCCTCTTCCTTAAAACATCTTACTAGCTTTCAGGTAGTGGTATACTGGAGCCCACTTTGCAAGAGACAATGTTAATTTTTTTGGAATTTTGCAAACCTATTATTAAATAATTCATAGCTTAAAATAGTCCATGGTAAAAGTATTTACACTAAAGAAACTGGCAAGCGCTACAGATCAGGGCATTGCTCTTTTAGTTTTTCTCCTGCCTTGCAAAATTTTCCTGATCTTTCAATGTTGGAGTGCCCCAGGGCTATCAATTCTTGGACCTGTTCTCTCTTTTAGCTATACTCACCCTCTAGGGGATCTCATCCAGGTCCATAGTTGTTGATGTTGACACAATTTATATCTACTTTTTGTTGACTACAAAATGTATATCTCTAGCTTTGGCTGTTCTATAGAATCTCAGATTCCATCTATCCCCAACCGCCTTGTTAATATCTTCATTTCAGTGTCTAATCAAGCATTTCAAGCTCAATATTCCAAAAGCAAATAGTATGCCAGCTCTCCCCAAAAGTCCCTCCATGAGTCTTCCCCATGTGTCTGGCCAAAATCTTAGAGTTGTCTTGACTCTTTTCTTGCTCTTACACCCCATATCCAATCCATCAGCAACTCTTTCTACCTTCAGAATATACTCTGAATCTTGCCACTTCTCATCATCTCCACTGCTTTGAAGTACTACAATTTCTTACCAAAATTTTTTCAATAGCCTCCTAACTAGTATCCCTACTCCACCAGCCAACAATCTATTCTCCACTCACCAGCTCTAAGGATTCTTGTGGCTTTCTGCCTCATTCAGTTTAAAATCCAAAGTGATCCCTAGAACCCAGAGGTCATATCCAACATGGACTCTGGCTATCTCTCTGACTTTGTTAACCATCCACTGGCCTCCCCATTCCCTAGGCTCCAGACACAGTGGTCTCATTGCTCTTCCTTTAAGTTCTAACAACTTTCAAGTAAGAGCCTTTGCTTTTCCATCGGGCTAGAATAGTCATCGCCTGGATATCTGCAGGGTTCATTTCCTTCAGTTCTTTACTCAGATGTCAGCTTATCGGAAAAGACTTCCATGATCACCCCCAATACTTCTATTTTCCGTTTATAGTCTTTAGCAAAATATGCTTTAATATTATATTATGTGTTTAGTATGATTCCCTCCATTAGAATTTAAGCTCCAAGAGGGAAGAGACTTGGCCTGTTTTATCTACTACTGATTTCTCAACTTTTAGAACCATGCCTTGCACTTAGTAATATTTACTGAGTA